GTACGTCGTCGTCTACTACTAAGTAACCTAAACTAAACTAATATATATATATAATTAACTACTATATATATATATATATATATATATATATATATATATATGGATGTGCATTGAGAAAAATCCTAGAAAGGAGGATCTAGGAGAGAGAGAGTAAGATAAATTTTAGGAAAAGCAAGAGGGGACAATCACGTTAGAGAGAGAGAGAGAGAGAGAGATAGAGAGAGTTTTTTTTTTTGTTTTTTTTTTTAAGGTTTTTTAGTGGTGTGGTTTGTATAGAGCCAACATTCAAAGCGTCGAGAAATGTGGTTAATACTAGAAATCTTTATGATAGCTTTTAAATATATTTTTATCTTTAGTTACAAAAATTAAAGCTTAAAAAATAGTGTAAATTGAGCATATCTATGAAAACTTGAAAATTTTGAAAATTGATGGTCCAAAAATGTGTTACAAGATGCACTATTTCCAAAACTTGAAATTATATTTTTTCTCATGTTCATGCATCTTGATGTCGAGATGATCAATTTGAGGATATTGGGGCATCAAAACAATCTCTTCTACTGAAATTTTTTAGGTTGGCTCTAATTTTATTGTTTAGAGCCTCAACTCTATAAAAACTTTTTCTTTTTTTAATTTGTGTTTAAGAGGGAGAGGCTTATATGTGATTGACAGGGATATTTTTTGTAGAGAGTTTATTTTTTCAAAAAATAAGTTTTTTCTTATTTTGGGATTATATTACAACTACGCTGTTTTTTTCTATAGTTGCTAAATTTTACTTGCTTCAAGATTGAAAGAATGTCAGATTTAATTTCTTGGCTCTTTTCGTACCATAAATTATATGTGCTAATCTTGCCCAATTTTGACACTTCAAGGTCAAACGTAGAACATGGGGTAATTTTGGTAATAAAAGAAAGCTGATGAAAATGGGACCTGGCCTTAAGATTGGAAATTTTTTAGATCGTTTTTAAATTTCTAAAAAGAGGATCCATGTGATGATTTGATTTTAATGTTCTTATGTGCTTATTGCTTTTCTCCTTTTTATTTCATTTCCAAAATTGCCACCACTTCATATCGGAAGTGATTAAACTATTTTATAACTTTAGATGCTAAAGACCTGAAGTTGTCCCCTTTTGCCACAGATTTAAAACCACATGATTTTGGATCTTGAAGATAAAAAATTACTTATAACTTAGGAACTTGAAGATCTGAAGTCATGCCTCATAAATATAAATTCGGATATTCAAGATCTGATGTCATAGGTTAGTTCGAAGATTGAAAATCTGAAGTAGTGGCAACATGGAGAGGAAAAAAAAAAGGCCACGCCAAAAAGGGGTACTAAAGGACTTTTAATCTTCAAGATTCAAAGTCATGAAATCATTTTGTGAATATCCGAAGGGATCGTAGATTAGGAATTAAACAAAGTGAAAAAAAGTAGGTACATGGATGGAAAACCTTTGTTTTTTTTTAATCACTAACAAGATTGGCCCTAATTCAACCCTTGAACTACTATGACTTTACAATTTTAGTTGTTGGGTTCTTGAGCACAATATGGTAAGTGGCTTGACCCCTAAAGGTTAAATTATATTTAAGGTTTTTTTTGGAGAAACTTACATGCATATTTCCAAATTTCACTATTATTTACTTAATTAACCAAAATTTTTTGGTTATTTATTTTGAAATGACCAAATTAACCATATTTCTAATCTTAAGTATCCAAAATTTATTTGGCGGAAGTCTGTAAAATTTTGGATCAAATTTTTAGATCTTAAAAAGCCTAAAATTATCAAAAGTTCCATGTTTTGGAAGTCTAGTTTTTTTTATATTCAAAATCCGAAGTTTTTATCTTCATATTTTAAATTCGAAATCCCACGACTCACTAGCAAAGGGTTTGTTATGCCCTCCAATTTTCAAAATCCAAAATCTCCATAGGAATTTTGGATATGGAAGATCGGATATTATTGGTAAAAAATGAAAATAAAAAATGTAAAATATAAAATTAAAAACATAAAATAATTTCTTCAATTTACAATGTTTTAGTTGATGTGTGAGTTGAACACATTTTTGTTTCATTTTTAAGAGGAAGGGGGGGGGGGGGGGGGGGGGGGGGGTTATATGAGTAAAATTATGCCTGTAGTTGTGTCCACAAGATTTCAGTATTAAATAATCACAGTAAGGTGCACCTCCAAAAATTTATCATACAATGTCATTTTAGTATAAAAAATTCAAAGGATAATTTGAGAATCCATTTTTATCTTTGATTATAAGATTTTAAACTCCAATAATGGTTTAAAACAAGTAGATCTATAAACAAATGAAAATCTTAAAAATAAACGGCTAGATAATGTGTTACTATTTTTCAAGACTCAAATTGTTTTTTATTTTTATTTTTTTCCTATCCATTCACCTCGATGTTATGATGATCAATTAGAGGATTTACCAATATCAAAATGGCTTTTTTCGATGGATTTTTAAGGTGCACTTTAATTCTACAATAGGAAACCTTCAGATTATTTTTTTGGAAAAACTTTTTATGTTCCCTCTACATCATAGAAGTTCTATCATCCCTTTATCCAACCGTCCATTTTCTAATAGAGGGCTAAGATGCCCCAATCACAATGCCACGTCTCTACACTATTTTATTTTTAAGTTTTTTTTTATAAACTATTTTCATACTTAATTTTGGATATCTATTCCTCTATTAAACTCGCACTAACAAAAAATATAAATTTTTTTTTTAATAAAATAAAATAACCAAAATACCCCTAAAAGTTTCAAAGGATATTTTGATCATTATTTTTTATAAAAAATTTATTAATATTTTGTTATAGGTTGGCACGTACCAAATTTCATATTCATAAAAATTGTATTAAAAAAAAATAAAAATAAAATACTTTGAAACGTCAGATCTAAAATCAAACGGTAAGTGACTCTCTCTTGATTAAAAATTAAAAAAAATGGACGGCTGGATAGTAGGGGAGGATAGAACTTCTTAAAGAAGGTGAAAAGCTTTCCCTATTTATTTATTTTTTGTACATAACTTCGCACGAGCATAAGAGAAGCCCCTATTAGGTTTCCTACTTTTGTCGTTGCGATTAGAGATAGGATTTTAGGGTTTTTTGGATTCACATAAATTCACAGCTTTGAGGGGTTCATAACCCTTGGCGCACCTCAAACCCTCAGCCTCTGGAAGTGCAGTCAGAGACCTTCATTTCGATCTGCAGCCATGGTAATCTCCGTCTTCATCTGCGCTATATCAAACTGTCTCTCTATCTCTACCTGTATTGGAGAAGACACAGTAAAAATAAAAGTATCTTTCTCTCTTTAATGTGTATTCATTTCTCATTTTCTTTGTAAACAGGTGAAGTATTCCAGGGAGCCAGAGCATTCAACTAAATGTAAGCGCTCCAAATCTATAGATTATTTCTGCCCTGAGATCTATGATAAAAGTTTCATTTTGTAATTTCTCGGGGATTATATTGTTTGTGAATTTGTTAAAATTTGCTCCCTCATGTTCTTATTTTTGGTCTTTCCATAAACTAATGATGTATTTTCTAGTTAGGGTTTAAGAAGATAATTTATTTTGTGATGCGGTTCATTGCTCTATTGTTTCACCTTGCAAGGGCAGAGAATCTGACCTAAGGGTTCACTTCAAGGTATTTAAATATTCTATTTTATTCTTGTATTTTTCATTTGGTGATGTCCAGCTACGTTTGTGATCGAACAGTGTTTGTCGCAGCAAACTCTCTACTTTGATGAATTTTTTGCTCTTATATTAGTTATTTTGTATTTTATCTTGATTGCCCATAATGAGTTTGCTTTACTTATGTTGTTTGTTCGTATATTATTTCTATATATCACTTAGGTTGCATTTTGTTATGGCTGAATTATTGAATATATTAATGCTGAAAATGGCTGCTGTGTGGTTCCAATTGTTGTATTGTGCACCATTCTAAAAAAAACTAAAGTAAAAAAGAGCTTTAGTTGAAAATGTTTCGTTTTTCATGTCGGATATGGAGTGCCAATTTAGTTTGAGTCTAGGACTACGTAGTAAGTGTACACTGCACTCTAAGTGCTACATTCTTGCTCACCCATTTTTCTTTCTATTTCCTTTTAGCTTCATCTAGTTGGATGTTTCAAAAAATTGTTTTGTTCTTGTATCTTTGCATTTCATTTGTGATTGAAGATCTGTTTGCATAACCTGAGGGAGAAAAGCAGAGGTCTGTACTTTTCTCCTCTGAGCTGGCCTGTCGTAAACTTCAGAGAAATTATTTGAACCATTATTGGGTGAACCTTTGTAAACTATACTTGTGAATAAAGGTTCAATGAATGTTGCGAAATTATAATTGCTAATATAGGTTTGTCTCTCTGATGTGAATAACTCGATCGCGGTTCATAGATATGGCTATCTACTGAGATTTATGGCTGTGACTGAGTTTGCATCACTACTTTGTTGTCAACTTGAATAATTAAATATATTATCATCACTTGTATCCTAAATTTAATCATTAGACACATTTGATAGCTATTCAAAAGATGTTTGATTTGGCCTTAAATATTTTTGGTACTCTTTTAATAAGGTCCTTAGGATAAACCTTTGTGGGACAAGACTGTGAAGAAGGATATCAATAACACAGTGCTAAATGATTGATACTTTGATGGAATATTATCGAAGATATTTTTTATCCAAAATTATAATTTCAATACAAAGACTTAATAAAAACTGATTGGATTGATAAGTTGGAAATGGCTGCTGTGGGGTTCCGATTGTTATATACTTGACTAGATTCAAATTGTGTGCCATTCTAAAAAAATAAAAGAAGTACAAATGTCCTTTAGTTGAAAATGGTTTGTTGTTCTGGTTGGATGTGAAGAGTGGGGTAATTTTGTTTAAGTCTAGGACTAAGTGCAATGTTCTTGTTCACCCATTCTTCTTTCTATTTCCTTGAAGCATCATCTAGTTGGATGTTTCAAAAAAACATTTTGTTGTTCTTGTATCTATAAATACCATTTGTGAGTTAAGATCTAATTGCGTAACCTGAGGGAAAAAAGTAGAGGTCTGTACTTTTGTCCTCTGAGCTGGCTTCTCGTAAACTTCAAAGAAATTTTTTGCAACCTTTGTAAACTATACCTGTGATAAAGGTTCAATAAATGTTGCGACATTATAATTGCTATTATAAGTTTGTCTTTCTAATGTTAATCACTGGAACTCGGTTCATAGATATGGTTATCTACTGGTAAACTTCAGGGAAATTATTTGCACTAGTATTGGGTGAACCTTTGGAAACTATACGTGTGAATAAATGTTCTATAAATGTTGCGACATTATAATTGCTAATATAAGTTTGTCTTTCTGATGTGAATTACTTGATCTCGGTTCATAGATATGGTTATCTACTGAGATTTATGGCTCTGACTGAGTTTGCATCGTTACTTTATTGTCAACCTGAATAATTAATCATATTATCATTATTTGTATGTAAAATTTAATCATTAGACACGTTTGATAGCTATTCAAAAGAGTTTGATTTGGCCTTAAATGTGTTTGGTACTCTTTTAATCAGGTCCTCGGGATAAACCTTTGTGGGATAGGACTGTGAACAGGGGTATCAATAACACAGTGCTAATGATTGATTTTTTCATGGATTATAATCAAAGATATTTTTTATCCAAAATTATAATTTCAATACTAAGACTTAATAAATACCGATTGGATTGATAAGTTACAAATGGTTGCTGTGGGTTTTCAATTGTTATATACTTGACTAGATGCCATTCTAAAAAAATAAAAGAAGTCAAATTGTACTTTAGTTGAAAATGGTTTGTTGTTCTGGTTGGGCGTGAAGAGTGGTAATTTTGTTTGAGTCTGGGATTATGTAGCAAGTGCACACCACACTCTAAGTGCAACGTTCTTGGTCGCCCATTCTTTTTTCTGTTTCCTTGAAGCATTATCTAGTTGGTTGTTTCAAAGAATTATTTTGTTGTTCTTGTCGATCTATGCATGTCATTTGTGAGTTAAAATCTGATTGTCTAACTTGAGGGAAAAAATCAGAGGTCTGTACTTTTCTCCTCCGAGTTGGCCTCTCATAACCTTCAGGGAAATTATGTGCACCATTAATGGGTGAACCTTTGTAAACTATACTTGTGAATAAATGTTCAATAAATGTTGCGACATTATAATTGCTACTATAAGTTTGTCTTTCTTATGTGAATCACCTGATCTAGGTTCATAGATATAGTTATTTACTGAGATTTATGACTGTGACTGAGTTTGCATCACTACTTTGTTGTCAACTTGAATAATTAAACATATTATCAACACTTGTATCCTAAATTTAATCATTAGACACATTTGATAGCTTTTCAAAAGATGTTTGATTTGGCCTTAAATGTTTTTGGTACTCTTTTAATCAGGTCTTTGGGATAAACTTTTGTGGGATAGGGTTGTGAACAGGGCTATCAATAACACAGTGCTAAATGATTGATATTTTCATGGAATATTATTGAAGATATTTTTTATACAAAATTATAATTTCAATATTAAAACTTAATAAAAACCGATTGGATTGATAAGTTGGAAATGGCTGCAGTGGGGTTCTGATTGTTATATATTTGACTAGATTCAAATTGTGTGCCATACAAAAAAATAAAAGATGTAAAAATGTACTTTAGTTGAAATGGTTTGTTGTTCTGGTTGGGCGTGAAGAGTGGTAATTTTTTTTGAGTCTGGGATTATGTAGCAAGTGCACACCACACTCTAAGTGTAACGTTTTGCTCACCCATTCTTCTTTCTATTTCCCTGATGCATCATCTTGTTGGATGTTTCAAAAAATCATTTTGTTTTTCTTGTGTATCTTTGCATGTCATTTGTGAGTTAATATCTGATTCCGTAACCTGAGGGAAAAAGCAGAGGCCTGTACTTTTCTCCTCTGAGCTGGCCTCTCATAAATGTAACACTCCAAATCTATAGATTCCAGGGAGCCATACAATCCAACTAAATGTAACACTCCAAATCTATAGATTTTTTCTGCACTGGGTTATGTGATGAAAGTTTCATTTTGTAATTTCTTGGGGATTATATTGTTTTTGAATTTGTTAATCGGCTCCCTCATGCTCTTATTTTCGGTCTTTCCATAAATTAGTGATGTATTTTCTAGTTAGGGTTTTAAGAAGATTATTTATTTTGTGATGTGGGTCATTGCTTTCTTGTTTCAGCTTGCAAGGCCCAGAGGATCTGACCTGAGGGTTCACTTCAAGGTATTTAAATAATCTCTTTTTTTGTTCTTGGGGTTTTCATTTGGTGATGTCCAGCTACGTTTGTGATCGAACAGTGTTTTTCGCAGCAAACTGTCTACTGTGATGAGTTTTTTGCCCTTATTATTTCCTTTTGTTTTTTATCTTGATTGCCCATAATGAGTTTGCTTTACTTATGTTGGTTGTTTCGATATTATTTCTCTGTATCACTTAGGTTGCATTTGTTATGGCTGAATTATTGAATATATTAAAGTTGAAAATGGCTGTTGTGTTGTTCCAATTGTTGTATACTTGACTAGATTGAAATTTTGTACCATTGTAAATAAACAAAAAAGTAAAAAAGGACAATAGTTGAAAATGATTCGTTGTTCTGGTTGGATTTGAAGAGTGCTAATTTTGTTTGAGTTTGGGACTATGTAGCAAGTGTACACCGCACTCTAAGTGCTACATTTTTGCTCACCCATTGTTCTTTCTATTTCCTTTTAGCGTCATAATTGTTTTGTTCTTGTATCTTTGCATGCCATTTGTGATTGAAGATCTGTTTGCATAACCTGAGGGAGAAAAGCAGAGGTCTGTACTTTTCTCCTCTGAGCTGGCCTCTGGTAAACTTCAGGGAAATTATTTGCACCCTTATTGGGTGAACCTTTGTAAACTATACTTGTGAATAAAGGTGCAATACATGTTGCGAAATTATAATTGCTAATATAGGTTTGTCTCTCTGATGTGAATAACTCGATCGCGGTTCATAGATAGGGTTATCTACTGAGATTTATGGCTGTGACTGAGTTTGCATCACTATTTTGTTGTCAACTTGAATAATTAAACATATTATCATCACTTGTATCCTAAATTTAATCATTAGACACATTTGATAGCTCTTCAAAAGATGTTTCATTTGGCCTTAAATGTTTTTGGTACTCTTTTAATCAGGTCCTTGGGATAAACCTTTGTGGGATAGGACTGTGAAGAAAGGTATCAATAACACAGTGCTAAATGATTTATATTTTTATGGAATATAATCGGAGATATTTTTTATCCAAAATTATAATTTCAATACTAGGACTTAATAAAAACCGACTGGATTGATAAGTTGGAAATGACTGCTATGGGGTTCCGATTGTTTTATACTTGACTAGATTCAAATTGTGTGCCATTCTAAAAAAATAAAAGGAGTAAAAATGTACTTTAGTTGAAAATGGTTTGTTGTTCTGGTTGGATGTTAAGAGTAGTAATTTTGTTTTAGTTTAGGACTAAGTGCAATGTTCTTGCTCACCCATTCTTCTTTTTATTTCCGTGAAGCATCATCTTGTTGGATCTTTCAAAAAATCTTTTTGTAATTCTTGTATCTTTGTATGCCATTTGTGAGTTAAGATCTGATTGCGTAACCTGAGGGAAAAAAGCAGAGGTCTGTACTTTTCTCCTCTGAGCTGGCCGCTCGTAAACTTCAGGGAAATTATTTGCACCACTATTGGGTGAACCTTTGTAAATTATACTTGTGAATAAAGGTTCAATAAATGTTGTGACATTATAATTGCTAATATAAGTTTGTCTTTCTGATGTTAATCACTCGATCTCGGTTCATAGATATGGTTATCTACTGAGATTTATGGTTGTGACTGAGTTTGCATCACTACTTTGTTGTCAACTTGAATAATTAAACATATTATCATTACTTGTATCCAAAATTTAATCATTAGACACATTTGATAGCTCTTCAATAGATGTTTAATTTGGCCTTAAATGTTTTTGGTACTCTTTTAATCAGGTCCTTGGGATAAACCTTTGTGCACTGTGAACATGGGTATCAATAACACAGTGCTAAATGATTGATTTTTTCATGGAATATTATCGAAGATATTTTTTTTTCCAAATTTATAATTTCAATACTAAGAAGTAATAAAAACCGATCGGACTTATAAGTTGGAAATGGCTGCTGGGGGGTTCCGATTGTTATATACTTGACTAGATTCAAATTGTGTGCCATTCTAAAAAAAATAAAAGGAGTAAAAATGTACTTTAGTTGAAAATGGTTTGTTGTTCCGGTTGGATGTGAAGAGTGGTAATTTTGTTCGAGTTTGGGACTATGTAGCAAGTGCACACCACACTTTAAGTGCAACGTTCTTGCTCACCCATTCTTCTTTCTTTTTCCTTGAAGCATCATCTAGTTGCATGTTTCAGAAAATCATTTTGTTGTTCTTGTGGATCTTTGCATGCCATTTGTGAGTTATGATCTGATTGTGTAACCTGAGGGAAAAAAGCAGAGGTCTGTACTTTTCTCCTCTGAGCTGGCCTCTCGTAAGCTTCTAGGAAATTATTTGCACCATTATCGGGTGAACCTTTGTATACTATACTTGTGAATAAAGGTTCAATAAATGTTGTGACATTATAATTGCTAATGCTAGTTTGTCTTTCTTATGTGAATCATTCTATCTCGGTTCATAGATATGGTTATCTACTGAGATTTATGGCTGTGTCTGTGTTTGCATCACTACTTTGTTGTCAACTTGAATAATTAAACATATTATGAACACTTGTATCCAAAATTTAATCATTAGACACATTTGATAGCTTTTCAAAAGATGTTTGATTTGGCCTTAAATGTTTTTGGTACTCTTTTAATCAGGTCCTTGGGATAAACCTTTGTGGGATAGGACTGTGATCAGGGGTATCAATAACGCAGTGCTAAATGATTGATATTTTCCTGGAATATTATCGAAGATATTTTTTTATCCCAAATTATAATTTCAATACTAGGACTTAATAAAAACCGATTGGATTGATAAGTTGGATATGGCTGCTGTGCGGTTCCGATTGTTATATACTTGACTAGATTCAAATTGCGTGCCATTCTAAAAATTATAAAAGGAGTAAAAATGTAGTTTAGTTGAAGATGGTTTGTTGTTCTGGTTGGATGTGAAGAGTGGTAATTTTGTTTGAGTCTGGGACTATGTAGCAAGTGCACATCACACTCTAAATGCAACGTTCTTGCTCACCCATTCTTCTTTCTATTTCCTTGAAGCATCATTTAGTTGGATGTTTAAAATCATTTTGTTGTTCTTGTGTATCTTTGCATGTCATTTGTGAGTTAATATCTGATTCCGTAACCTGAGGGAAAAAAATCTAAGGTCTGTACTTTTCTCCTCTGAGCTGGCCTCCTGTAAACTTCAGAAAAATTATTTGCACCATGATTGGGTGAACCTTTGTAAACTATACTTGTGAATAATGGTTCAATAATTGTTGCGACATTATAATTGCTAGTATAAGTTTGTCTTTCTGATGTGAATCACTCGATCTCAGTTCATAGATATGGTTATCTACTGAGATTTATGGCTGTGACTGAGTTTGCATCACTACTTTGTTGTCAACCTGAATAATTAAACATATTATTTGGCCTTAAATGTTTTTGGTACTCTTTTAATCAGGTCCTTGGGATAAACCTTTGTTGGATAGGACTATGAAGAAGGGTATCAATAACACAGTGTTAAATGGTTGATATTTTGATGAAATATTGTTGAAGATATTGTTTATCCAAAATTATAGTTTCAATACTAAGACTTAATAAAAACCGATTGGATTAATAATATTCACAACTTTCTACATCTTCCACTCCTAGTTTTATAATATTATTTTCTCTCATGGGAAGTTTATAATCTACTGTTACCCTGCATGGTATGCCCTGTTTAATGTAACTATTTTATGCTATTTTAATCCACATGCAAACATGACATGGATTAGTTTTTTATATTCATTAATGTATCTAGATACTTAATCCATTTCAACGTGGATCTTCCCTGGTTCATTTTGTCATTATTTTTTGAGATTCATACATAGTGTTGGTGCTATAATCCATTTGCAAGTGGGACTTCGATTTACTGGTTCCAATGTTTCAAAGTGAGGTTTGAATTGAAATTTTTCTCAGTCATGTTGCTCACTCCTTTAATTTGTGGCTCAATGTATAAGTTATCTATGCGATCAAAATGCAAGTATGCTTCTTCATATTGTTTTACTGTGCCAAGCGCACTACTTGGTATGAATCAAGTAAATTATTATTGTTATTTTGAGTTCAAAAGTGATACTGGTGTTGCTGTTTCTCATATCTGACTTCTTTTAAAATGAGGTCTAGATTGGTTTATGATCTGTTACTGTATTTGACTGAAGATCCTACCATGAATTAGATTTTCTAAGTTGTACCTGAACCCAACTAAAAGCAGGGACCTGTTTTTCTTATGAACTGGTCTCTACTAAGCCGCATGAAATTGCTTGCATTATTATTTGGCGAGTCTTTGTACGCACACTGGTAACAAAAGATTCATTGAATGGTAAGACATTCCGAATCTCTATTGTTACAATGGAAACTTGTTGAGTGCTAGTCCATTATAGCTGATGGAAAAGGAGAAGATTACCTGCGCTAGTTTAGAAAAACTTTGATTTATTTGCAACTTTTTCTTTTAACCTATCTAAAGGTGGTGCAATGAAGTTCACACCTACTCAATTTCCTTTTTAGTTTCTTTTCAATCAGCTACACCATTAATCCTTTACTGTTGATAAACTTTGGTCGATTGATTAGCTAATCAATCAAGCTTGTAAGAGGTGCATTCTTGCTGCACATTTGGAGGTTAGCAACTCTTAATTGTCTTTTTCAATCCTATGCTTCTGTGTGACACCATGTAAGATGGTTGTTCTTGTGTTGTATTTTAAAATGCTCTTTTAGTCTTAGGATATTTCTTTGAAATTCATTTATTCTTCTTTCACTCCTTGTGAAGCTGGACATCAAATTGAAACTGAAGTTGGGGCCATGCCTGATTTTAGTTAAGGAAGGCTTTCTTTGAAGTGAAATTTGATTTTCAATCCATTCTCCTTCCTCTCTATAAAAATCACAAGATTGAATTAGTATTTGCTATTATATGTTATTGTAGTTTCATATAGGTGACTAAGGGAATCCGCTTTTGGATCAGATCCTCCTCCACCCCAATAAATTTTTGATTGATGAGCATTGTCTTGATCTACTCTATCATCACCATTTGCTCTGCCCTCGGACCTCTGAAATCCTATCATGTTACTTCTGAATGCCCTTTCTAAAGGTTGTGATTGAGAAAGACTTCCAAAGAACGCATTCTCGATCCAAAATTTGGCTGGATGACCATATTTTAATGCATCCTTCCCATAGCCTTATGTTGTAATGTCAAACTTGGAGCAAAAAATAATGGCATTGCTTATCTCTCTGTCTCTCTGTCCTAAAAAAAGAAAAAGAAAATGAAAAAAAAGCCTTGGTCTTTTTATACAATGAGTCCTCAGTAATTTGTGCATTTGACCCATTAGAAAAAAGTGTGTGCTGTTGCTCCAATCTGATATTAGATTGTCGTAAAATTTTATGGCTCTGCTGCTGCCTCAGTTGAAGATAGTAATTAGAATATCATTCTCTTTGTTGTACCTGAGAAAAAGCAGGGACCTGTTTCTCTTAAGACCCGGCCACTCGTAAGCCTAAGGGAAATTCAGTGCATTATTATTGGGTGAACCTCTGTATTTGTGCTGATTGCAAAAGGTTCAGTAAATAGTGCAACACTTCATGTTATTAGTAGCATGCTTGAAAATTGCTCTAAAAAAGACTGTTAAAAATATGCTTGAAGTTTGCTGCTTCAAAACAATGTTCTGATCAGATATTGCGCCCCATATTCCTATGGTCATCAATCAAGTTTAGTTCGATAAAGATTGTCTACTGTAAACAGGTTTGGAGATTCTTGAATGATAACTTTATATCTAAAGTTAAAAAGTTGGCTGTAATTATGTATGCTCCAGATTTTTTTCACTGTGCTTCTATGAAAGATCTTTACCACGTTTTCTGCTATATTTTAAAATCTTCAAGAAAATAAAATAATATGCTGTATTTTATGTACATTCTAGATGTTCAATAGTGTGATATCATCTTAATAGTGCAAGTTTGGAAAATCTTGAACGATAAAGTTGACTGTGATTATGTAGGCTCCATAATTTGCTTCATTGTCTTCCCCAGAGAGATCTTTACCATAGTTTCTGTTGTTTTTTGCATCTATTTATTGTGTATTTTTTGTATACAAAAGTCGACTGTGATTATTTATGTAGGCTCCATAATTTGTTTCATTGTCTTCCCCGGAGAGATCTTTACCATAGTTTCTGTTGTTTTTTGACACCTATTTATTTTGTATTTTTATATATACACTAGAGGTCTATGAATGCCATGTATTTGTGGCAATTTTTCCAAGAAAAACTGGAAATTGAATTTATTGGAAGAAGCTTATGGTAATTGTGTGATATGAGGATCAACGTATTAGGGTTTTTACTCATGGTGTGACTTGTTTCTCTCTAGAACACCAGGGAAACCGCATTTGCTATCAGGAAGCTCCCATTGGCCAAGGCTAAGAGGTATCTAGAGGACGTTCTTGCCCACAAGCAGGCCATCCCTTTCCGGCGCTTTTGTGGAGGTGTCGGGCGCACTGCTCAAGCAAAGAATCGCCATCCCAATGGACAAGGGCGGTGGCCTGTCAAGTCTGCCAAGTTCATCTTGAACTTGCTCAAGAGTGCTGAGAGCAATGCTGATGTATGCAATCCTCTCTCTCTCTCTCTCTCTCACACACACACAAACACAAATACAACCACATGCGTGCTAGCAATCAACCTTCTCTTTCATCACATCATCTCTCTCATATTCAGGCCTCTCTACCTTCTTCTCCCTAACCATGCTCCTTATTTGTCTTTCCTAATAATTTCAGCATCCATGCTTGCTTGTTTTATAGTCTTTATTGGATTTTACTTGGTTACAAACTCAAGTCTTGATCTCTCAGCTTATATATTGCATTGGTTTTTTTGCTTTTCAATTTTATAGGTGAAGGGCTTGGATGTGGATACACTATTCATTTCGCATATCCAGGTAAATCAGGCCCAGAAGCAGAGGTGGCGAACTTACCGTGCCCATGGAAGAATCAACCGTAAGTTTCCTATCCTTTGATTTTATATCCTTAATTCCTTGTTTCTTCCGGTGCGGAGTGGGATTGTTGTGTTGAGCAAGGTTGAATTCTTTTTGATGAACAACTTACATTTCCTCCCCCTGTCATATTGAGTTGATATTGTCCGAAAAGGAGGCACCTGTCAAGAAAGAGGTAATCATTCCTTTGAATCAGCTTCTACCGAGCTTAATGACATGGATTCTAAGAAATTGGATATGTATGCAATATCTGGAGAGTGTGTGTTTGTATGAGTTTTTTCTTTTTTCTTTTTTTTTGAAGTTTTGATGGGTTGCATTGATGATTGCAGGCTGAAACCCAAGTGGTGCCCAAGAGGACGAAGAAATCTCAAGCTCTTCGTTGTGGGGCTTCATCTTAAAGCTTTGCAGAGTAAGAGAGATTGGTATCGCGTCAACTTGAAGATTTACTCAGAGAGATTGACATCTTTTTTCCTTCTATTTGAATGCTCATGTTTTTGCAACATTTCGTCAAGATTTTTGTGGTTGTATAAGGACCAAGAATCAGTCACCCAATTTGGAGAGAGATCTTTTCTTGCTTGAGTTGGTTAGTTTGAGCCTTAGATCATATTTGGGTCATTGTTTTAGCTTGAGTGTCTTCCTTTGTGGACACCCATGTCCTTACATTGCAGGCATTAGTTACCACGAAAGTGTTTTAGAACTTTTGTTAGTAATGTGATTTTTTCATGACCTACTCGTTACCCAATGTTTGCGGCTTCGCTTTGGCCGTTGAGAGGCTGAAATCTTTGGATTTTCGGCCTAGTCTGAGGCAAAGCTCTAGTGCATCCCGCTTCAGCCCACTTCGGTCCAATTCAGGCTCTTCCGTTGAAGTACAAAATTGTATTTAAAGAAAAAAACAATTATGTGTTCGGTCTGTTTTTGTGTGATTCAGCCTCTTTGGTTAAAGCTCTGCCTAGATAATCGTGATTATTTTGGATGTGAAAAAAAGAGCGAAACAATTCAGTTGATAGAGGGAGAGTAGTATACCTTTTTGTGGATATTAAACTCTAAAAATAGTGTATATTGCAACAAATCATCTAGACCATTCATTTTGCCCTAAAACTAAGTGGACATAGATCCGCACGATCTATACTATTTTTTGAATTTCAAAATTTATTGTCAGTGTTGGAAATTAATTTTAGAGCCATTATAAAGATTTTCAATGCCAAAAGTGCTTTCCGAATGTGGATTTGAGGTGTGGCTTTATTTGCTCTTAAAAAAACCAAGGCCCTATAAAAACTTCATCAAATAATTAAATATGCACCGCTTGAATTATAATCCTGTAAGGTAATACGCAAATGGTTTTAGCTGAATGAAGCAGAAGCAGATAGCTAGTAGTCTAAAACCAAATAGAAAACAAATATGACCCTATTGAGAACATGCAATACATATGGGTAAAGATAATCTGCAGAAGCCAAGGCAGAAAAGACCTTTCCTTTTTGGGTAAGTAACTGGGGCAGAAGGCCTTTACTCGATTTTTCATTAATAGGAAAAAAATAACACGTTATTTACAACTCTATAATAGAGCAATTAAATATGCACCGCTTGAATTCTAATCCAATAAAGTAATAGGCAAATGGTTTTAGTTGAATGAAGTAGAAGCAGAAGCCTAAAACCAAGTAAAAACAAATATTACCCTACTGAGAACATGCAATACAGATGGATAATGATCATCCGGGGGAGCCAAGGCACAAAAGGCCTTTTCTTTTTTGGGCAAGTAACTGGGGGAAGGCCTCTACTTGATTTTTCAATAATAGGAAAGAAATAAAACATAATTTTACATTTCCTTCATACACCAATAACTCACGTTCATGGAATTACCCTCAATCATTGTTAGAAAAAATTGGCGATTTAATCGCTAACCGCTCGGTTAGATCAGAACCGGCCAGTTTTGGGCGGTTTTGGTCATCGACCAGTATTTTAAAAAAAAATTCAAAAAAATGTATATAAAATCTCAAAAATAAGAAATTTGGTTTGTAATGCATTTCTTAATATTCTATACATTATGGTAAACATTAAATTTTGTTTTTTCATTAATACTCACTTTAATTCAAAAATCGATTTATTAAAATCCATTTTTTTTAATTAATTTTCAGCTTCATTCAAAAGTTTTTTATTTTAATAATTCTTTATATGTTTTTTGCCTAGTTAGAATGGTTGAATCGACCGATTTACCGGTTAGACCGGTTAAACCACTTCCAAGCTCCTATCCAGTAAACCGTTCTGGTTTGATTTTGCGAACACTGCCCTCATTGATCCATTTATCACCAATCCTCGACTCTATTCCTGATGTTGGAGAAATTGAGGGAACAATTAAATTAGCAAGAAACAAGCCAAACACAAACAATTGTGAAGAAACCGTACGGTTTTCTCCCACCTAGGGTTTAAGCTTTAGGCTTTTTTTTACAAGACAATTTTATTTTCTTAAAGAGGAAAGAATACATGAATACCTCTCCACTCTATTCATGCTTTTATTTATATTGAAATATTATTATTTCAAACAATATTTGTTCATACAATTAACTTTTAACCAAAAGGTTCTAACTTAAGTATAATCTGAAACTAAACTTCTTAGTTTTAATTAAATTATCAAAAAATTCCATAGAATTCCTACAAAATTAAAAAACCCTAGATTTAAATCCTAAAACCAAAATCATAATATACCTCCTTCAAAATTGAATAAAAATTAAAATAAATATAATTTTTCCCTCTATCATGATTCCATGTTTAAACGCCCTCAAGCCATTTAAGCCCCATTAACTCTTTCTTCTATTGATTAAAAGCTCTGGCTTGTTCTCGAAATCGCCATGGATGCTAAGCCTAAGTCCATGTCCGACTCAATAAAGTCGGTTGTCCAAGAAGACATTAGTAGACTTTCCCAGATCTTAGGTTTATTCATCTGGACTGGCACCCTGCTGGGTCTAAGTGACTCTAGCAAGCCCGACCCTCAGTCACTGATTTTGTGAACATTGTTTCTTCCAAACTCTTACCCACTGTTTCCATACGTCTCCTGCAAGTAATCACCAGTTTTCTTTGGAGAAATCTGAATGAAAAACAAACTTTTCGAAATCTGAATAAAAAACAAACTTTTCATCATACAGCTTCTGCAAGTAATCACCGATCCCTTTGGAGACACTTAAAAAAAAAAAAACTTATCCCTCCTTCTCATCTCAATTAAACTTTCCTTGTCTAGATGGCTATCACCCTACTTTCATATCAATCTAATTTTTGCTCTATATTGTTTCCAATATCATTTTGATGTTGAGAATGAGAATGGGGTTGGGGTCGTGGTGGCAGCACTACTTGTACGTCAGCTAAGGTCTAGGATCACCTAAGGATTTAGCACTTGGATCAAATAGCTCAGCTCTGCCACTTAAGGAGGCCACACCTTTTGCCCATCCTTATGTTCTGTTAGAATCCTTTCAGTTCAATGACCTTGACCAGGAAATAGTTCGGTTGGTTACTGTTTTGTGGATGGATATGAATCGAAGCTAGTTCAACAAATGTGGGATTTGCTATTTCCTGGTGGCCAATCACTATGAGCGAAGTTAGAGAGGCTAGAATAAACTTCTTAATTGAAGATTACAAGTGATTGTAATTCCATATTGGTAAATGGGGGCATTTTTGAGTAGGGTAGGATAAGAAGATGAATAGGGCAATTTCATGTAGGTGGCCATTGTGGTCTTGGAGGATGAATAACTTGTGTGAATGAGATGGTGAGTTGTATATTGTGTAGAGGGGATTAGGCATGAGGTGCTATGTTGGTCCCTTTGTAGGTCTTGTGATTGGATGGCTATTAAAAGTGAGCAGAGGTATTAGGGACAAAATTGTTTTTCTTAGTCATTTGAGCGCGTTTGCACAATAGTAAAGTTTACTATCACGCAATAAGGGATTTGAGGGCAAGGGATGTTAGTATTTTTTGTTTAAAAAATACTCGAGTGTATTTCAAAACAACAACTTCGGTTTTATAGATGTGGGATGTTTTGTATTTACCAAGGGATCTGAGACGGGAGTCAGGAGACCTATAGTTCATTAAAATGTTGGTTTCTATTCAAGGGTGGAGAGTATTGATGTGTCTTGGAATAGAGCTTGCCATTTGTATTATTACTTACACTTCTCTGTTGTACTCTTTGTGGTACTAGGAGTGGCTTACAATAATTGTCTTCCATGTCATGTCATTTCTCCTCCCCTCTAGAGTGTTTGATTGTGGGTGGTTAATTTTTAGGGGAAGGGTGTAAAGGTGTAGGTAACTGCTTGTAGTTCATCATACTTTTGAAGCTTTTGGTCATGTCTTTAGGTGGGTTTCCTAGGTGAATCTGATTTCGAACAGCTCGGACTCGGATCGTGGGGATCGCCAGAATACTTCATATGAAACTTGCCAAAATCGATTAGATTTGAGATCTGTTTCTGTTATTGAATTGCTCATTTAGTGAGCATTCTTAATGTCTTGAAGAGGACTCGATATGTTCCCCCTCTTCTGGGTCTGTCATAAAGAAAATGAAAACCCAGATTTGCTATCAAACGAGAGCTACGAGCAAATAGAACGCCTTTCAGTAGTATCAATACAGTCACATGGATGGTAAATGCATGAATGATGGCTTTCAATTTTTAAGATCATGGGTAGGTTCCTTGCTCCTGAAAGGTGTTGGAGTACTAAAACCCTAGAAGACTAATAATACTTCAATTTAGATCCTATCACAATAACTTGGCAGAGCAATAGAGTTATAGCTGGGGACTCAAAAGAAAACTACCAATGGTGAAGAAAATAACTAGCGGTGCGCACGAGGAAGTTTGCAATGTTCCCACTTTAATAATTTAAACCTTGCCAAGATATTGTTCACATATTATGCCTTTGTCCGGCTTTTGTTCCCAAGTACACATTTTTGAGATCTACTCTCACAATACTATATTGTTACACAAGTTAATGAAAATCTACTGGTAAGTTATAAAAAAGGAATAAATTTACAATATTAATAATAAAGATGCATTATATATTAGTACTCCAGGCACAGTTTCTATGGGTCCTAGAACTAATGAGTCCCTTCTTAGAAATCCTAGATTTTGGACCTAACTCTTAAGGAATAAATAATCTCTAACATAGAGGCCATCATCATCCAAGCCTTATCGCAACTATTTGGTGTCGGCTATTGTTCCTCTAATCTTCTCTATCAAGGAAGATCATGAATATGTAAAAATTTTAAAAATTGGGAATGATAATTTTTTGAAGAAAATATTTAGACTATTAGTTTTAACTTTTTTTAGGGAACCACCCATTTGCATCCATCTTTGAGATGGATGTTTTATGCCTTGGGGGATGCAAATGTGGGAATGCGTCCCCCGATGCATACAACAATTTTCCTATTGCTTATTGAAACAAGATGTACTGTATATTTCTAAATTATTTACTCTGTATTGTACTTTTAATGTATGTATCATTGATTTTGGGAAATGCCAAGTTGTGTCCTCGCTTGTTGTATCTTTGGCTGTACCCCTAACTCTGTTTATTGCTACAGAGAAACTTGATGAAAGCTGGAGGGGAACCAGCGCTATGTTATGTTGCTGTGTGGGAGGAGGAAGTGCATAGATGATGTGGGTGTGACGCATACTTTGTGGCTATGTTAAAAAGAAATGGTTACCCTTTTCAATGTCTAACACAGCTATCACTTGTCAGAAATACTAAACTTGAAATTGGCCTTTCAAGCATGGAATGTCTATTATTTTGAAGGGGAAGTAAGTGGTTTGAAGCGATATTAATTACTTTCATATGGATATCTCAAGAGTTAAGGTGAACCGTCTGACATATGTGTCATGTCTTGGTGTGTCGACATGTACCATAAACCACAGATACACCCGCCCAAGTTTACTTTGTGGTTTTCATTTCCCTCATTCAAATTTCCAAAATTAGTTCTGCTCAGTATTGGATCCCTAAACCAAAGGGGAATTTTAGTAATTTGGTTTTCCTCAAGTGTCTCAAGCTAAAAAATGAAACACTTCTAAGTTCTTATAGCGCGGAACTATCAAATCGAAAAAATACCCATAATTGTTCAAGATTAGCAATATGGAACTTAGATTTTCAATGAAAAAATTATTCTGAACTTGAACATCGTGGGCTACTATGGTAATTTATCCCAAGTCACTTAAGTTGGACAAAATTACCAAATTTGTTCAAGGTTCCTAACCCTAATTACGGTAATTTAGGAATTTTTGACCTATTTTTTTGGAAAGTACCTTTATTAAGTGAAATTTGAGAAGTGATCCAGCAGTGGCAATTGCGATCTTTTGAGCCCATAAATGATTTTGTTGGATAATTTGAGCTCTTGAATGATATTTTAACTCTGTGTTTAGAAAATCGACTCGGGCAAGATAATCAGCCCTTGCCTAAGCTGAGTTACTCTGACGAGTCCGAGTAACTTGCTCCACTAGAGTTAAAAGTTTAAAAAAATAAAAAATTAACACAAAAGTAATCTATTTACATTATAGCATTATCTAACTCTTTATTAGAAATCCTTGTTAGTAAGATCTACTTGTCATTCAAGAGCCACCTTCCCTTGCACAGCAGTGGCAGGATGAAAAAGAAAGCCGGGGAGAAGAGACGCTCTCCCTTGGCCCCTGTTGCTATCTTGTTGAATTATTTCTCAAGGATAACCTATAAGAGATGGTAGAAAGGTGCTCCATGCCACCGGAGTCTGCCACTTCTGGTAGTGCCGAAGAAGAAGAACCTCAGAATACATATTACTCCTCTTACCTTCCCCCTCTCACCGATGAAGTTTTGCTTTTGATTCTGGCCCGCACCCCCTTCTCCGATCACCCCACCCTCCGTTATCTCAGCCGCAGCCACCGCACCCTACTTGAGTCTGGAGATCTCTACCGCACCTGCCAAGCCCATGACCTATGCCATCCCATAGTCTTCATGTGTGTTGGAGGTGGGTCCTGCTGGCTTGCCTTTTCCCCTGACTCAGGCTCGTGCCGCCGCCGCTTCCGCCTTCCCCACTTCCCAAGCAAGAACCGCTTTTATGATGGTGATAAGGAATCCATTTGTGCTGGAAGTCACCTTTTACTCTCAAGCCTTGACCCTGAAGCCCCCACCATATGACGCTATGAACTCGAGGCAAGCTGCTGGTTTCGGGGGCCCGACATGCTCTCAAAACACAGTCTCTTTGCCTCGGCAAACTCGGGTTCATGTGCCTTCGTGGTTGGTGGGTGCGCTTATGTCACTAGCTCTCTGACTGCCCGTGTGCCAATGAACTCAGCAGTGCAATACGACCCCGAGACATGCACATGGAGACCACTCCCACCCATGCACAGAAAACGTACACATTGCTCGGGGTTCTTCATGAGCTCGAAATTTTACGTTGGAGGAGGAGAGGGGGTGAATAGAGATGACTTAAAATGTGGTGAATTCTACGACCCTGAGATGAACGAGTGGGTACTCGTGGAGGGGATGCGCGACGACCGGCCAATCCCAACAGGGTCTGATGGACGGCCACTGCCGAGGTCACAGCTGCTGGTGGCAGTAGTGAACGGGTGCGAACTTTATGAGTTGGAGCCGTGCATGAATGCACTCGAGGTTTATGAGGAGGAAGAGAAAAGGTGGAGGGCAGTCGGGTCCGTGCCGGTGAGGGCAGACCAAAATGGGGGCTGGGGGGTGGCCTTTAAGTCATTGGAGGACAGGCTCTCGGTGGTTGGGAGGGCTGGGTCTTCAAGGGGGGATGGGGGGAGGGTATGTGCTTGCACATACCGGCCTAGGGTGGGGTGGGAGCTGCTGGAGGGGGCTGTTGGCAATCTTGATGACTTTATTTTCAATTGTGCTGTCATTCTCACCTAGACACTATATTTTTATTTAGCTCACACCATTTCTTCTTTTTAATGACTCAGATATCAGGTATCACCTAATACCTTCTTTAATTTACCTCTTGATACTACTATTTTCTTCTTCTCAATGAATAAATATTCATTGTACAGTCTAAAACTGCAATCTCTCCTACCTCTCTCCTCTATACATCTTTAACAAACTCTACTCTACTCTCAGCTTAGACAACTAAATGTAACTGTTCTTTGAAACAGAACAAACCCTAGCCAACTTTTTTTGAAAACGACGATATAATTTTAACCACTAGAGGGTGTAGTTTATATAAGGTTAGTTACTTTATTTGTAGAAGGTTGTGATGCTCTACATTGTATATTTTAGTTGGATTGTGCAGATTTGATATATGTTTTAAGATAGTGTCAGATTTACACCATCCACATAAAATGAAGGGTCTACATTACTGCAGCCTTAGTTGTAGAAGGATGCAGCCTTGAATAAATTTTTTCCATGGAGCATTTAAGAAACACATTCTAATATTGGCAAGCAAAGTATCCTAAAATTTAGAAAATGTTGGGTCAAAACTGAATCTCGATTCCACCAAGGTTGAGCAATACTAGAATCGCTTGATTTACACAAAATTGTATTTTATTACCATTATTCTCACCACTGTTTCAACAGTCAGAACAGCGGGGAGGACCATTCACCCTCAAATCTAAAACAAATATCCTCAAATCTAAGTCAAATCACTAGATCGTTTATTTGGATCGGTCTAAATAAATGATCTAGAAAATTATTAAAAATATAAAATAGAAATTTATAGGAACCTAATATAATCTGCAAGCTTAAAATGAACCCCTACCATCCCGAAACCAATTCGGTTCTGACCAAGTCTCCTCCACTTGGGAAATCGCCCGGTTTTAAGACATTGATTCTCACTCATTTGGCCAACCTGAATAACCTAATTCAGCCAATCCTATTTGGTTTACCAGAGCTCTAAAGCACTGGGAAAATATGTGACTGCCTAGATGATAAGGCATTAGTTACTAGTATCCAATGCCATTCTCACACCTGGTTTTGACATTCAATATATAGTGAACTAATTTTACAGTAATTGGATTATACCCTATATCAACAGAATTGTTTCGCTCTTTTTTTCACATCCAACATAATCACGATTATCTAGTCTGAAGAGAATTGTTTCACTCTTTTTTTCACATAAAAAATAATCACAATTATCTAGGCTGGATCTTCAGCCAAAGAGGCTGAATCTCACAGAAGTAGACTGAACACATAATTGATTTTCTTTAAAATACAATTTTGTACTTCAGCTTAAGAGCCCGAATCGAATCGAAGTGGGCTGAAACGAGATGCACTAGGCCAAAAATCTAAAGATTTCGGCCCCTCCTCGGCCAAAACGAAGCTGCCAACATTGGGTAGGGGATACCTAAAAAAGTAGGTTATGAAAAAATCACATTACTAACAAAAGTTATAATACACTTTCGTAGGAACTAATGCCTGCAATAACCCAAATATGCAGGCATTAGTTCACAAAGGAAGACACTGCCAAAACAATGACCCTAATATGATCTAAGGCTCAAACTAGCCAACTCAAGCAAGAAAATGGGGTTGACTGATTCTTGGTCCTAATACAACCACAAATTTCTTCAAGAAATGTTCAAGATGAAGCAAAAACATGAGCATTCAAAAAGAAGGAAAACTGATGCCAATCTGTCTCTCAGTAAATCTCCAAGTTGCCGCGATACCAATCTCTCTTACTCTGCAAATCTTTAAGATGAAGCCCCACTATGAAGAGCTTGGGATTTCTTCGTTCTCTTGGGCACCACTTGGGTTTCGGCCTGCAATCATCAATGCAACCCATCAAAATTTCAAAAAAAAAAACACACATACACACTCTCCAGATGTTGCATACATGTCGTCTTTCTTAGAATCCATGTCATTAAGCTAAGTAGAAGCTCATTCAAAAGGATGATTACCTCTTTCTTAACAGGTGCCTCTTTTTCGGATAATATCAACTCAATATGACAGGGGGAGGACATGTAAGCTGTTCATCAAAAAGAATTCAACCTTGCTCAACACAACAATCCCACTCTGCACTGGAAAAACAAAGAATCAAGGATATAAAATTAAAGGATAGGAAACTTACGCTTGATTCTTCAGTGGGCACGGTAAGTTCGTCGCCTCTTCTTCTGGGCCTGATTCACCTGGATATGCGAAATGAATAGTGTATCCACATCCAAGCCCTTCACCTATAAAATTCAAACCAATACAATATATAAGCTGAGAGATCAAGGCTTGAGTTTGTAACCAAGTAAAATCCAATAAAGACTATAAAACAAGCAAGCATGGATGCTGAAATTATTAGGGAAGATAAATAAGGAGCATAGCTAGGGAGAAGAATGTAGAGGCTTGAATATGAGAGATATGATGTGATGAAAGACAGAGAAGCCAGATTGATAGAAGGCATGTTTTTGTGTGTGTGTGTGTGTGTGTGTGTGTGTGTGTGTGTGAGAGAGAGAGAGAGAGAGAGAGAGAGAGAGAGAGTATACATACTACACGACTACTACTCTCGACGACTACTACGTACGACGTAACGTAACGTAACGTAAGTAGTACGTAACGTCGGACGACGACTACGTACGACGACCG